ATTTAATCGTTCAAGGTTTCAAATGCTTTCCTAATCAGACCAAGTAGGATTGATTTACGGTCAAACAACCATTTGGACCGCAGTTGTTAAGGTTTTTGTACGATTAGGCTATAATAGATATTACCTAGGACTAGGGATACCCTTTAGTAACCAGATTTAACCCTTGATAAGATAAAGGCTTGACTCCATCGGATATTTCTAAGGACTTAAGATTTAGGATAGATGGTTAAAGGTTTTCTCACTAAGGACTTAGGGGAAAATAAGCTAAAGGGCTAGTAGTTTAAGGTAATGAACTTGTAGAAGAGATCAATAGTGAAGGTTATTATAGGGCAAACCACACACTCACCCCTAGCATAGTATTCATACTAGTAAAAAAGTCATAATTTATCTTCCACATATTTTTAATTATTGTTAAGTACAATTACCAAACCAAAACCCCAAATTGATTTTTGTTTAATTAAACCTCGCATTAAACTCGGTAATTCTATGCAGTCCTTGAGTTTGAAATTCGGGGAATTTTCCCTGTTATTACAAGAGGCAAAATAGTACACTTGCTATTTTTCTCATCAAGTGTCCTAAATGAGGTTTATCTCGATATAAGAAAAAATTGTCGCCAACAAAAGTATTATGGTACTTTCCTTTAATTCCGAGATTTAGACGAATGTTTCATAGTGAAACCAATGCAAGACACTTGACTTGGCATGCAGATGAAAGAATTATTGATGGAAAGTTTCGACATCCGGTAGATTCACCACAGTAGTCGAAAATTGATAATGATTATCCTGATTTTGGATGATACATTGATGAAGGAGCCGTTGAGTTTTGTATTGAATATTTGTCCAATGTTCAATCCATTGGACTACCCAAATCTCATATTTTCAAAAGTAATGAGGGAAAAAATTTAATCAGAAATAAAATTGTGACTGTATGAAGGGTTGAACGAGATCAAGTGCATTTATATGTTATGCATAATGACAACGAGGTTGAGCTGTATGTTGAAATGCACAAGGATGTACTCTGGGGTTTAAATCTGAATAGAAATGAAAATTGGATAGTACGAGAGCACAATCAAAGTTTTATACAATTGTTCAAGGATCATATTTATTCAAAGTTTGATTTAGATCCCGCTTCAATAACATAAAGGTTGAGATGTTTAGCATATGGTCCGAGTTTGCTCGTGTTTTCTTGTAGCGCATACGCAATTAATGGATACACATTTTATACCAAAGATCAAGATGATAAAAGTATTATGCAAAATAATGGTATCACAGTTGTAGCTGAAGCAATGCACATTTCAAGTTTGAATGACTTAAACCCCAAATATGCAAATCTGTCATATTTTGGGGTTATCGAGCACATTTGGGTGTTTCATTATGAGAAGTTTAAGATTCCTATCTTTGGTTGCAAGTGGGTACATAATAGTGGCATACGAATGGATAAGTCCGGTTTTTTACAAGTGGATATTAATAGGATGGGGTACAAAGATGAGCCTTTTATTCTAGCCTCTCAAGCTAAACAAGTGTTCTATGTCACTGATCTAACAAGTACGAAATGGTCTATAGTGATTTTATCTAACAAAGTGGTTGATGATAACAGTGTAAATCAAAGTAATATTGATGTTGAGAATGAGTCATATGTTATAGGGAATGAGTCGTATATACGAAATGATCAAGATGAGAATATTATAACAGATGAATCATATATTAGAAATGATCATAATGAGGGAATTTGGATCAATCCATCTATCTGAGTTGTTAAGAGCCAAGTAAGTCATATTCCAACCAAGAAAAGAAAGAGATGTTAGTGAAAAAGGTACTAGTAAAATGTTATATGTTATGTCATTCAATAAAAAATTTATATTGTGTTTATGTTTTTATATTGTGTTTATAGTTTTATATTATGTTTATGTTTTTATATCGTGTTTATTCATTCATTGCTACTTGAATTTTATATGGTGTTTATGTTTTTCTTTAATATTATAGGTTAAATAGCTTGTAACAAGGAAAAATCACATCTCGCTTCTAATAACGATGGAAATGAATCAGCTCGTGATGTAGATAATGATATTAGACGAGGAATAACAATTATGAAGTCAATCATTCGAGCAAGAGATAAAGGTATCAAATTTGATGTATATTGGAATGAAGACAAACAACTAATTGAGTCTAATGGTTCAATGTTGACAAGTTACATTGGTTCCCTTGTAAGGACAGAAGTTTTAATCACTTGTGATGATTGGAGAAAGTGTGAGTTGAAACCCGTTAAAGAAAAAATATGGAGTGATATACAAGTGCCATATGTGATATCATTTATTTTTGTTGACGATTATGTCTTTAAATTACTAACGCACTCTATGTATGTTTTTTTGTAGAGGTCTTTTAATATTGATGATGATCAAAAAACATATTATCTTCAATTGGCTGGAAAAAGACTAAGAAGGTTTCGATCTTTTTTGACAAACAAGTTTCTTAGGGATGCCGATAATAATTTTATTGATGCAGAACTTCCAAAGGTGTATGCAGGCTTAATTTCTCCTGAAGAATTGGAAACATTTGAAGACAAACGAAGAACCTTAGATTTTCAGTATGTGAGTGTCATGAATCGCCAACGAGCATCAAATCCCTTGTATCCATATAGAAAAGGGCGTATGGGATATGGACGCTTACAACAAGGATTGGTAAGTATATATAAATGCTATGATATACTTGTTCATCATGTGTTATAATTGATTTTATTATTTCTCTTAATGTGTAGTTAGAAGAGGAGAAAAGTCAAGAAACGTCTCTTTCGGAACATGTTCTGTGAAAGGCTGCCCGGGTGGGTAAGGATGGAGTTGTTAAGGAAGATGTGCTTCAAATTTATGATCAATGTGTAAGTATATTATTATTCCTTTAATTAAATCAAAAGTTTATTAACATAAAGATTTATGAGTTTTAATCACCACTAATTTATTTTGATATGCGTATGAATTTCAGGATAAACTATCTCATTCTTTAACTCAAGCTGAAGACCACGATTGCAGGAGCATACTTAGTCGGATATTAAATGTTCCTGAGTATACCGGTCGTGTGAGGGGTAAGGAATTCGGGGTGACTCAAACATCTTTGGTAACCATCAAAAGAGGAAAGGTCATAGCAATAAAGAAGTGATGGAATAGTTATAAAAATTAAAAGCTGAAGTTCGTGAGTTGGAAAAGGACAAAGAAAGATACATGTCAGAAAGGCAAGGTTCAGGGTTCAAGGATACTAGTGACAAATATAGTAGCAATTGTGATTTCCAACAGAAAATTCCCAAGGTAATATATATTATTATGAATTAGCACAATTTTTTTAATTGACATATATACACATTAACAATTTTATATTTATTATTGGTTTATGGCATTTCACCTTGTCATCTCTATTTAGCGTCACCGACTTATCGCATGGTTGAAAAGGGAAAAGTGCATAACACTTTGGGATAAGTACTTCACCATAAACCGCTCCCTGTTGGATACTTAAAAATATCAATTGATATTTCTTAGAGAGCGATGCGCCATTACCTTTACCTGACGATATTTCAGATATAACATTGGTGGGAGAGGCAATAGAATCATATGTTGCATGGTCGTCAAACCTCATCTGCATAGATGATGAGGTATGTTGAAAACCATTATGAACCTTTGAGTATTCAAATTTTTTACGACCATTTAACGTACATTTTTTTCATGGTAATGTTATACTCCTACAAAATCCAAATCAAAAGATAAGAGGATTACGCGGAAAATCGATTCAGTTGCATACAAAAAAGAGGTACATTGATATATATACATAGAAAAAGTTAATTCACGATCTTATACTTCACCTAACTTATATGTATTTGATCTTTAGATTTATGCTAAATAGAGCAACAAGTCAATATGAGTAAGAAGCCTAAAATTGACAACATGTCCATAAAAAAAAGGATGTTGTAAAGTCTGCGGCTAGAAAAAAGCCTACTTCTCGGTATAGGCCGTGCCTTCAGACATTAATGGGATTATCAGATTTGGCTGACGGAGGTGTGTTGCAACTGGTTTTTTAATCAGAGTCGTCACCCTTAATTTTTATCCTAAAGGAAGAGAGTATAAAGGAATAACCCTAAGACAGATTCAGAGATTCTAGATTTGAACTCGGTCTTAGATAAGGGGAAGGTGTTAGGCACCCCTTATCTACCTTGTTCGCAAGGATACTAAGTTTTGAAGCACTTTTTAAGAAAATAGGGTTTGTTAATTTAAATATATTCATATTCCTTTTCGAAAAAATAATTGTTTGAATTAATTTAATTTACGAAAAAGATTTGGTGTTTGGTTGAATATTTTTAGGCGTATAGTAGAGGAGTCTCATATAGTCCCCTTATCACGTGGCCAGATATTGGCCACGTGTAACTTGCAAATGTAGTATTACGTGGATTTTAATATTTTCGACGTTGAATAGTTAATTGATATGGCATTGAGCCAACCAAAAAATATGGCGGATGTAAATCCGTCAATCCCGTTATTTGTAAAAATATCTAATTAAGTTAATAAAAATGCTTGATTATATACAAGTTAATTATTTTCAAGTATTTATTATTTGATAAAAACTAAACTAAATAATTTAAATAACACCAATTAGATTAACTAAAATTAGTTAGATCACCTAAGACTAATTAAACAAATAAAACCTAAAATATAATGTGGTTTAAAAAGGGTTTCTATAAGAACATAGCCCATTCGGCCCAAAATAATAACCCTGATTTACTAAATATAAAAATAAATAAAATAATAGAAGAACAATTTAAAATATGACAAATTGTAGCTTAGGGGGCGACTCCCATTCCAGTATCGACATCATCAACAAAATCAAAGCCCAATTAATTTGACTTTTCAACTCTCCAAGACTTATCAATCATAACTTGACACATATTAATTGATATATAAAAAATAACATGAAAACTAACACCACCTATGCTAAAGAAAACAACATCACCATTAAGCTTTCAGAATGAAACCTCTTTATCTCGCTTTCCCAATCTGCTCAATTTCCCCTCACTTCTCTCTCCCACTTTTCTCTTGGAAAAAAAATGAAATCCTCTCTTCAATTTGTCATGGAAACCGAGCAAACAACATATCGAATTTGAGATCTCGTAGTGATGCTCTGTGTGATTTTGCATTATGTGGCTGGAATTTCGGTGGAGGTACGGTGGTGGTTGTGCGGCTTCGGGAAGCATTACCGACGACAGAGAAAGGAATCACAGTCGTCGTGGTGTTGGTCGGTTCCGACAATGGTGGGTCGCGAACTAGCAGTAGTTTGCGTTTGAGGGAGAGGGGCCGATGTGTTGGCTTCGAAGCTCATTCCTTCTTCTTTTCCTCTACTGTAATACTGCCCCCTTTTCTTCTTCTTTTTTTCTACTATATTTCTGTTGTACCCTAAATTTCGTCTTTAATTTTTTCAGTCACATTTTCATATCATATTTTATCATTTGGTCACAATAATTAATAAATAGTTCCATTCATCACATTTGCATCATATCTTTAAGTCTGATCTTGTGTTATTGACTAACTTCTAATCAAAATATAAAAAATATTTGTTTTTTAATATTTGTGCTTTGTAGGTACGAGTCAAAGCATCTGACAAATAGGATTTTCCGGTATTATTTTCTTAAAATCTCTATTTATAAAGAAAAATAATTAAAATAATTTCATTTTTTTATTGTATAATCGATTGCTTTTAAAGTGTAATCGATTGCACAGAGTGCATTTTGCGCAATATTTGAAAAAAATTCAATGTACAATCGATTACTCCCAGAGTGCAATCGATTGCACATAGTGAAATTTTGAAAAAAATTAACAATTTCAACCTTGTCAATTTTGACTCCAATTTTTCTTTATTTTTTGAAAGATATATCATTAATTCATATTTTGGCTCCAAGAATCAATTACCAAGCCTAATTTCATTTCTCAAACCAAACTCCAAACCACCACTAATCTCAAGCCTAAACTCTATAAATAGAGTCCACATTTCATCCAAATCTCAAGATTTTGATAGTCAAATCCACCTTGCTAAAAAATCTCTCAATTCTCTCCATCTACCAAATTCACTCAAAGCTTCATTTTCAAAAAATAAAGTTAGTAAGCTTTGCATTGAAGCTTACTAATTTGAGTTAAATCTTCATCCAAACACTTTTTCTTTGTCAATTCTCTACATCCAAGCTTGGACAATTGATTCTTGGGGGTGAATTGAAGCAAATTCTTGGTGTTTTTTTTTCATAACTCTCTAGATCTACCTTTGGTAAGTTGGAATTTTCATCTTTTACAATGTGATCTCTTGTTGATCTTTGGGTTTGATTCATGGAGCATTGTTTTGTGATTCCATTGGTGTTATTTTCTCATAATTTGGTGGAATTTTCTGCTCAATTAAATCCATAATCATAAAGTGTTTGATGAAAAGTTTGAACAAGATTTTGACCTTTTAAAATGTTGTTTTTCTGTTTTTAACAGGGTGCAATCGATTGATGTAATAGCATAATCGATTGTCACATTAGAATTTCACGTTTTTTTGAGAGAGAAAACACTGATGCAATCGATTGCTGGCAGAGTGCAATCGATTGCAACAGAACAAAAATGTTTTTTCTTCCTTGTTTTGGGGCTGTTTTGATCCATCTCTCTTTTTCTACTCACTCCTTTTGATTGTTGATTTAGATTGCAATTTTAAATGTCCAATTTCTCTTTAAATTCAATGAAATTTGGGTGTAGATGAAGTTAGATAAATGTTCATTAATTCAAATCTATCAAAGAGTGAATTATTTAATTCATTTTTTGTGTTTTGGATTAATCATATGTTTAATACTTTAATCCATCGAGATGAGTGATTAAATTTAAAGAGGAAAGAAATTTTAGGTAGTGATCCAAATTAGCTTATCATTTCCCTCCCTCTTCATCTTATCCATTTCTTTTTTTCTTTGTGCTACATGTTATAGGATGATGATCTCTATATAATTTATCCAAACATGAAGTACATAGATTGCTATTGACCGACCTCAAAATAGGTGCGACTTCTACATAAGTCCATTTATGATTGCTTAAAATAGCGCTAAATTTTGTCCCGATTCGAGAAAATGATCATTCGTGGCCCAAACATATGTTTGCAAGCTCAAGTATGTTAATTTTAACCCTTTGATCCAATAACCTTGAGGTTCATTGTTAGGAGGCTTTGGTTCTACCAACCCTCCAATGGATCTTCATCAATTTTGGTCAACGCATATCACTTAAACATCATTGATCATTAAATGTTACTTTGGGGATTCTTAAATGGATGATATACTTGACAAAAAGCAAATGCAACTTGTTGTTGAAAGACTTTGGTCCTACCAATCCTCTAATGAGTTCCAAATACAAGTTTCAAGATGGTCATCCAACTAACCATTAACTTCTAACAATTGACTTTATTTTATGATTTTATTTTTATGCTTTTAATTTATATACCATTTACTTTAGCATTTACATTTCATGTTATTTTCATCTTTGCTCACTTGAGCATTTACTTTTGTGTCATTTTTATTTTCCTCACATGAGCTTTTCTTTTCCTTTTGAAGATACTTAATAATTAACATGAACCATAAAAAACATTAATGATACTTGGACTACTTGGTTACTATCCTTGGCATTATGGAGTATTGGACTTCTTGGACTTAGGAATAAAAACTTTGGCTTATGTTGGAGACCTTGTGACCTTAATTGATATTTTGTCTAGAGTTCTCGGGGTTCACCCCAAGATATTGGGTTATTTGTTTGTTTTGTGTGTAGATTATTGTGATTACATACTTTGTCTGTAATATGGAATTCATCTATATACAGCTGTTACTCTACCCAATTTTTGTGAACACTTAATGCAATTAAAGCTTGGTTTTATCAACATGTTTTAGTATCCTTGCTTGGTTTCAATCCAAAGAATTGGAATTCTATCTTGACTCATAATGTCAAGTGTTGACTTCTTGTTGGTTAGATGGTTCTCTTCCTTAGCTTTTACCTTATGTTTTAGGATAGTTCCTTTATCTTCTCCCATCTTCTTTAATTTTCAAAATCTTCTCATCTTTTTTCAAAATCTTCTTTGTTTATAAACTCGAACTGCTTTCATAATAAACCTCGACTTTGTCGAGTGCCTTTACTTTTAAAAATTCTTTTCTTTAAACAAACTTCAATTCATTTAATCATACTTTGACATCTTTCAAAATTAACAAAAATACTTCAACTCATTCAAACTCTTTTGTGCGCTCGAGCACCCTTTACCCTTAAAACCTTTTTTCAAGATGAGACATAATTCATTGATAGTCGAGTAACATTCTCCTATCCCCATGGTTATAAAGGTGTCGACCTTTCCACTTGAGTGCTAGAGACGCTCTCAAACCCTCACTCTTACTGGCGCAGGGTCCATCTTTCCCGCACCTTGTGGGTGTTAGTCGAGATTTCTCTCCTAACAATGATGATACCTTCCCTTTGCATAACCGACCCCCGTAACTCAATCTCTGATTTTTTATTTCATTGTGGGTTTTGTTCACTTTTTTCCCATTTCCCTTTGGAAACAATAAAGTGAGGTGGCGACTTCATTATGTTGAGATAAGTCAATTGATGGCTTTAATCTCAAATCTTTACTGCTACATTCTTTTCCTATCATCATTCTCGCAATTCGTTCATCTTCACGTCCTTGACGATGGCGATTGGATTCACGCATGCAACAGGAAAGTTAGCGACTTCACTGAGTACAAATTGACTTATTGTTGGTCCATTCCCAAGTAGGTCAATCCTAGCTTTGTTTGTTTCTTTTCTATGAGTGTTTATATATTGTTTTACTTGTTGTTTATTTCTTCCCATTACTCTATATATATGTTTTTCTGGATTTTCCTGGTTTTCAGGGGCTTGGTGATTTCTTATAAGTCTTCTACCCAGACTTTGGGAAAACTTAAGATAGGACGGGAAGTATAGTCATGTTAACTTTGAGGGAGTAATCCCAAAAAAGGAGACATGAGATCCCCCACTCAGTGGAGGCCCCTTTGACTGTAGTGTTATTTACCGAGTAATCGGGAAGACGTACTGCTTTCGACCTAGGAGCCTGCTGAAGTTGAGGACCGTAGATTACCTAACCCATCTTGGCCTTTTAGGTGTAGTGTAGAAGCTATGACAGAGTAATCCGGAAATAGTTGTCACACGATACTTCGCTCGGATGAGTTTTTCTTGAGAATATTGCTAATTACCGAGTTAATCGGGACGTTGATAATATCCGGAGGAAGTATATAGACTCTGGGAACCTCTTAGAACCTTGTTTGGCAGGTGATAACCGTTAGTCCATACCTTATGGGTTGTACCTTTGACTCCAAGCTCGTGACTTTGAACCATGTGATCCTGTTACTGTGCAGTGCATTGCATAACATTGCATATCATTTGCATCCTCTGCATCATTCTGCATACATCCAGGTTGTTCAGGATCTTACTCCCAATTGCTTCTTTCTTCTAGTTAGTCGTCTACCGTCAAGCTGATTCCTCAACACAACTACGGGACTAAAGTTGTTGTCAAATTGAGAATGGAAAACCAAGAACAACATAACATGGAAGTCATAATGGAAGTCGACGAGTTGAAGTCAGGCAAGGCCAAACTTACTGAGATGATGCAAGTCCTGATTTCCAGAGGAGAGACACCTCAAAGGACTGTGATATCTGAAGTCCTAATTATTGTTGTTGACACTCAACCTATCTAGCATACATATACTACATGGCCAGTGTATGGGTTACCTCAGAATTACTCTTCGCCTGTTGCAATTACTTCAATGGTTGGCCATTCTTCCCGACCAATTTTTCAAGCTCCAGTTTTCACTAAACCTCAGCCAATCTTTCATACTGCTTCTCATGAACCTACTGCACAATCTACTTTTGGGAACCCTCTCTTTGAGTACCATGCTGCCAGTCCTCGAAGTACGAGTCATGGAGACTTTGGTGAGTTTGAAGAGTTCAAAGAACAATATCAGACTTTAGAGAAGAGACTTAGAGCTATGGAAGGAAATGAATTCTTCAGTGTTGATGCTAATGTGCCTAGTTTCTGATCTGGTTATGCCTACAAAGTTCAATACTCCCGACTTTGAAAAGTACAAGGGGCATACTTATCCCAGAAGTCATTTGGCGATGTACTTTCGAAATATGTTCGCTTACACAAAGAATGACAAGCTGTTTATCCATTGTTTCCAAGATAGTCTGAGTGGAGCTTCATTGAAATGGTATATGGGACTTGAGAAAGGTTGTATCCAATGCTTCCAATATCTTGTTGATGCTTTCATAAAGCAATACAAATACAACCTTGACATGGCACTTGATCATCGCCAACTGCAAAATATGTCTCAGAATGAGAAAGAATTTTTCAAGGAGTATGCTCAATGATGGAGAGAATTGGCATCTCAAGTTGAACCACCTCTGGCAGAGAAAGAGCTAACTGGATTGTTCATGGATACTTTGTCCCCTTTCTTTTTGGAGAAGATGATTGGTAGTGTGTCTTCCAGCTTCACAGGCCTGGTGACAATTGGCCAGAGATTAGAAGAAGGAATCAAGAATGGTAAAGTGTCTAAATTTGCTGAATATTCTAATGGTGCAAAGAAAT